CAGTCAGTTGATGGCGAAGGGTATTCACCTTGAAGCAGACAGCACAACCCAGGAATTCAAGCTGTACCACGGGAGAGGAGGCCTCTACATCGGCAAGGCGGTCCTCAAGAACAACGTCTTCGTTCTTGATTTCGTCCCGGATCTTGGCACCGCTGACAGCGACGCCATCGTCAACTTCACCAACTGGACACACCCTCCAGATCTTGATCCAGACTTCAGTCCAAGCGGCTTCTGGTACACACACACCATTCGTGAAACAGAGAGAACAAGGGCGTTAGCAACGATTCAACAATCGGCAGCAGCAGAGACAACATCGGCAGCAGCAGAGACAACATCGGGAGCAGCAGAGACAACATCGGGAGCAGCAGAGACAACATCGGGAGCAGCAGAGACAACATCGGGAGCAGCAGAGACAACATCGGCAGCAGCAGAGACAATATCGGCAGCAGCAGAGACAACGTCGGCAGCAGCAGAGACAACAACAATAGCAGCAGAAACTTCAACACCAGTCGCCGGTCCTTCAACGACACCACCCTTGATCGACGACACGCCACCGACACCCGCGCAGCAGCTCAACCCGGCACGACGAGAAGTCCACCGAAGTCCGAATGTCACCACCGGCTTCTACTCCAACTCCGACATGTACCGACGCTCGCCAGGACACCGCGCCAACGAAGAAACCTGGCACGCAAGAATGGGACATCCGAGCCACACCGTGTTAAACAACACAATAAGAGCAGGAGTGCTCGACAAAGACTCTCTCATGCTAACTGACGGAAGGGAACTTCAACGAGCTCGAGGAACATGCTTCACCTGCCCCGAAGCAGACCTAACGCATCAACCGTTTCCATCTCACCACAATCCAAGCGCACCAGCTTACGCACCACTCGGAAAGGTATACAGCGACATCATGTACAACCGCGAGCCCGGACAAAACGCCTACAACTACACGATCACCTTCATCGACGCCGCGACCAGATACGTCTGGCACCTCAACCTACCAAGCCGCAACATGGCCTTCGAAGCGTTCGTCGCGTGGCTTCCTGCAGCAGAAAGAAAATCAGGTGTAAAACTGAACAGCTTCCTGTCAGACGGGGGAGGAGAATACACCTCACAGAGGTTCAAGGACTACTTGGCAGAAAGGGGGATCAAACGGCTCATCTCCCTTCCTTATGCCCATCAACAGCAAGGCGTAGCAGAAAGGATGAACAGGACACTCCAAGCCACCATGCGCAAGCTGCTACGTGGCATGCATCTGCCCAACCACCAGTGGCCCGAAGCAATGGACCACACCGTCATGCTGCACAACTTGCTCTCGTCATCATCGCTCCCGAACAACGCATCACCGCATCTGCTGTGGACAGGAAAATTGGGCAGCACAAAAATGTTGAGAGTCTTCGGCTGCATGGTACAGTACCGACCACCATCTGCACGCGCCGGCCGATTCTCCCAACGAGCACAGTGGGGACTACACCTGGGCATCGAAAAACACTACAACGCATGGAAAATCTTCGACATCAACAGCAAAGAAACAGTCGCAGCACGTGATGTCATCTTCTACGAGAACCTCACCCTCGACGTTCACCTTGCGCACGTGGCAGCAAACAGACCTGACCCCTCGGGCGGATTTACTGGCACCCGAGCCTTCGTTTCAGCAGAAGACGAAGCTGACTGGGACGAGCAGAACGTGGATGGAGCCTTGGAAGAAGTCGAACCACTCCCGTACTGCTGGGTAGACGTACCGATGGACGACGACAACCCTCGCGAAAGTGTCAACGCCGAAGTCTTCTACAAGTTCGCCGACGACGGTTACGTTACACCTGAGCAAGTCAACACCAACGAAGCAGAACGCGTAGGGCCCAATTTCGCACCTGATCCTAAAGCTGGAGACGAAGCAGTTTATCCCGAGGACACCACACTCCCCCGCTACACACAGAGTGGGCTCCAGATACTTGGCCTCGTCACCGCAGTCCACGGCACGGCCATTCCTAAGGAGCCTGCGACGGTTCAGCAGGCTCTGGGGGGGGAGCATAGGGAAAAATGGCGCGAAGCCATGGACAGGGAGCTGAAAGCATTAGAAGAGCGCAACACGTGGAAAGTCGTTCCCATCGGCGTAGCACGGAACAAGACCATCCTCACCGGGAAATGGGTCTTCCGCGTGAAGACGAAAGCAGATGGCACCATTGAGAAGTTTAAAGCACGATGGGTCGTGCGCGGCTTCGACCAAGAACACGGACGCGACTTTACTGAGACCTTCGCACCCGTCAGCCGACACACTTCGCTCCGAATTCTACTCGCGATCGCCGCCATGAAGAAAAAGAAGCTGCGACAAATCGACGTCGCAAACGCCTTTCTCTACGCACCTGTGGACGCTGAAATCTTTGTCGAACAGCCACACGGCACTAACGTGGACCCCAATCAGGTCTGCCAGCTACTGAAATCACTCTACGGCATCAAGCAAGCTCCGCGGCTATGGCAACAGTACCTACACGCTCGCCTCATCCGCATCGGCTTCAAACAGCTACCGCACGATCAAGGCATGTACCGACTCACGAAGAGCGATGACTACATCCTGCTAATCGCCTACGTGGACGATCTCCTCTACATCGGCTCTACCGACGGCATCACCACCTGGTTCGAAGGGGAGCTACAGAAGGATCTCACTCTCACGGTTTCATCTACCGTCACTCAGTACCTCGGCCTAAACATCCGAGAAGAAGAAGACGCGATCTACCTCAGCGCCGCGAAATACGCCGACACCATCGCCAAGCGTTTCGCTCTTACACCAACCGCCATCTTCACGCCGTATCGCTACACGACAGGAAGCGACAAGAGAGAATCCGCTCTACTCAAGCCCGCCGGCATACGCGACTACCAGAGGAAGCTGGGGTGTCTTCTTTTCGCAGCCGTTACCTGCCGTCCCGACCTATCGTACTCCGCAAGTCAACTCGCCACCTACCTCAAGAAGCCTGAAGCGGAACATCTGGCGGAGCTCGACCGCGCTCTTCACTACCTCGTCAGCACTCCGACAATCGGGCTGACCTACCACAAGAACGCAACTACACCGACTAAGCTAATCGGCTACGTCGACGCCGATCACGCCGGCGACTCCGGTAACAGGCGCTCGCGCACCGGCTATATCTACCGCCTCGAACCTATCGGTCCTATCTCCTGGCAGTCGAGCAAGCAGGAGTTAATCGCGCTATCATCAGCTGAAGCAGAATACATCGCACTCTGCTCAGCCACCAAGGAAGGCCTTTATCTTCGCGAGCTGCTGGAAGAAGCGAAATTAGCCGAGTTACCCAACTTCACCCTGTTCTGCGACAACCAGTCGGCAATTCGCATCGCCAACAAGAACGGCTTCGCGAACAAGACGAAACACATCGCCCTGCGCTACTTCTTCGTGAAGGACGAGATCGAGAAGGGGAGACTCGAGCTGTCATACTGCCCCACGTCCGAGATGGCAGCAGACTATTTGACCAAGAAACTCGGAAAGCAGAAGTTCGAGTACTGCATGCTGCTGACTGGACATCAGCAGCGACACTCCAGAAGCGAAGGGGAGTGTTGGAAACAGTGAATCTTAAGCGCCTCTGTCGTGTCGAAACACTAAGGCACAAGCGAAGTAAACCATATCGAAGCAAGCGCGAGTCAACCCTCGGAGGTTGAGAAGTTGCTGGAGGTTACGCGAAAGTCAAATGTTAGCGACCTTTGACCTGACAAGTGCAGCGCGACAGTAAGGACACACAACTGACTCGTTACAGAGCAGTTGCCCGAGTCGTACTGTATCGAACCGCAACAGCAACAGTAAAAGTAGTTATAACTGTATCTCTTCATATTCCTTGTACTCTTATATAATCTTGTATCTCTTTGCTATAATCAACTTACTTTGCCCTCACATACCAGCGCAAGGTGGTTCACAAGTTCTTCATTAAACGCTTCCGCTATTACATCGTTCCTACCCAGAGTTTACCCCTGAAAAGATCCTAAGGGCTTTTCTCAGCCCAACATCTGACAGCCAGACTAGGAAGAGGGGTGTACTCTGAGGCCTCAGACTACCTCAAAACGAATCTAGGGGCAGGGTTGTACGCGTACGGTGTGATCCAGTAAGGAATCCGGAAAAATTCCTTACAATGCTATTACCGTATTCTCCCGGACAAAACACCCCCCCATGATAGAGCACCCCCGGGTAGCTTGTGCGGGGTGGGTGCTATGGGCGACCTCGATTTCACTATACCCCCCTTTTTGGATGATTTTTTATAACACCCCCCTTTTCTTACGGATTCAATAGTATAGTTGTTAACGAGTCGGTGGAAGTACGGGAGTATATCGCGAAAATCCATCGCTAGATGAAATTTCCCGGTTCTTTCACATCAAATCTGCCGAGATTCCCCCCGCCCACTGTTTCGCTATCGCCACGTGCTGGCGAATCTTCCGCTGCAGGTGGCCAGAGAGGTGCCAAATGACATTTTCGAGGGGGTGGTGACATTCGCGTCGAAATGAATTTTTCCGAAAGTGTGTAACACTTTCTAAAAATGCGTATTGTGAAAGCGCAGCTGCCTGTAACGAAGCAAAGCAACGGCGAATTACAATTCGCCGAGTATATAACCAGGGTTGGAGGCCATTCGGCCTCCACCCACGACTTCATTTCGGAACTTGCAGTTCCACTTCCCACCCACCCACCCTAGCTGTATCTTTGTTTAATCCATAGTTGGACGAGAATGTTGTATTACTGCAATTGTAATGAAGCCCGTTGCCTTTGCAAGAACAGAAAGCAAGCTTTCTCAATACTGACATTCGCGCCTCAACATGTGATGTTAAAAAGCCCATGGAAACACTCAACTCGTCTAATAAAAAAAAACTCTAACACTAAAATATACCATATATATGCACCCGGGTATTATGTAGCTTTTTCCTATGAGAAGACACCCCCCTTTTTTTTCCTGTATTTTTAGATCTACCCTAGGGTGTTATGTCCGGGAGAATACGGTATAGCTATGCTGTTATGCCGTGGGAAGGAGACTCGCAGAGTCCGATGCCGCGGCAAAGGCAGCACCACTGCTAGGGGAAGGCACAGTGACGTCCACAGGAGCAGCATTTGGTGCATGTGGTGCTGCAGCAGCATCACTGGTAGCAGCCTCCACCACATGTGCATGTGCAAGCTCAGGTGTTGCAGCTGGCCCAGCAGCAGCAGCAGCAGAAGCAGCAGGGACGGTGAGAGCAGCTGCTTGTGCTCCACTAGTGGAAGTGCCCGGTTCGACCTGCCTCCAGTGGGTTAGCGAGATGATGGGATGGGTATGGAAAGAAAGGTGGTTCAACTAGCAAAGTTGGGTAATTTCTTTAGGCAAAAGTGAATATTACCATTCAGCAACACCGACAGCAGCTATGCGAATGATTGACTTGACACAATCTCCTGTTCACCTGCCACCTGTCATGCTCCAAGTTACTGCCCTCTACCACTCACAGAGCAACATGAGCCACACGACACACGGCACAACACCCCAAACCAACTGACAAGGGGAAGATCCAGCAGCGTGCTTATAGAAGAAATCAGTGTTCGAACATGACAACCTACGAAGCAAGTTAGGGGCAAGGCGAATGCTCACATCATCATCGGATTCTTCCTCCTCGTTGCTGACATCATCATCAGATTCTTCCTCCTCGTTGCTGACATCATCATCAGATTCTTCCTCCTCGTTGCTGACATCATCATCAGTTTCCTCCTCCTCGTTGCTCACATCGTCATCAGATTCCTCCTCCTCCAACTCCCCCCTCACCGCCCGCTGCATAAAGCTCCCCAACACCGCATAGAATGCCTCATCCAACGCCTCCTGCTCCGCCTCCTCGTTGTCCCCGCTGCCCTGGCTGCTCTGACTGCCCTCGTGCCCTTCAACCCTCTCCACCTCCACCTCCGCCATCCCTGAGTCGCTTCCTCTCAAGGCTGCGCCCAGACGCCGCAGCCCGTACAGATGCCCCTGCAGGTGCAGATAGAAAGAGGGTTAACACAGTACCTCCTTATAGAGCATCAACAAGACAGTGCAAATGCAGAGACAGGAGGTAGGGTGTGAAGGAGGAGGGGTAGGGATAGGGAGGGAATGAGGTGAAAGGGAGAGGGGAAGGGGAGCGATGAGGAATCAGGACACCTCCGACGATGGGGAGCGATGGGGAATCACCTTGGTGCAGACGTAGGTGACCACTTCCGGGAACGTGACGTATATCTTGTTCCCCGCATAGCAAATAAGGATCTTGGACACTCGCGGAAAGTTCAACAACTGCATCATACCCCCCTTTTTGGATGATTTTTTATAACACCCCCCTTTTCTTACGGATTCAATAGTATAGTTGTTAACGAGTCGGTGGAAGTACGGGAGTATATCGCGAAAATCCATCGCTAGATGAAATTTCCCGGTTCTTTCACATCAAATCTGCCGAGATTCCCCCCGCCCACTGTTTCGCTATCGCCACGTGCTGGCGAATCTTCCGCTGCAGGTGGCCAGAGAGGTGCCAAATGACATTTTCGAGGGGGTGGTGACATTCGCGTCGAAATGAATTTTTCCGAAAGTGTGTAACACTTTCTAAAAATGCGTATTGTGAAAGCGCAGCTGCCTGTAACGAAGCAAAGCAACGGCGAATTACAATTCGCCGAGTATATAACCAGGGTTGGAGGCCATTCGGCCTCCACCCACGACTTCATTTCGGAACTTGCAGTTCCACTTCCCACCCACCCACCCTAGCTGTATCTTTGTTTAATCCATAGTTGGACGAGAATGTTGTATTACTGCAATTGTAATGAAGCCCGTTGCCTTTGCAAGAACAGAAAGCAAGCTTTCTCAATACTGACATTCGCGCCTCAACATGTGATGTTAAAAAGCCCATGGAAACACTCAACTCGTCTAATAAAAAAAAACTCTAACACTAAAATATACCATATATATGCACCCGGGTATTATGTAGCTTTTTCCTATGAGAAGACACCCCCCTTTTTTTTCCTGTATTTTTAGATCTACCCTAGGGTGTTATGTCCGGGAGAATACGGTATAGCAATGCTGTTATGGGTGTTATGTCCGAGAGAATACGGTATAGCTATGCTGTTATGAAACTGCATGAACATCTTAAATTGAAGTACCAGTAACTCTGACAGTTCAGACAAAAAAAGTTGTGCTTATCTGAATTTTCAAACTAAAAAAAATAGGTACCTCTAACAGCCAGACTAGGAAGAGGGGTGTACTCTGAGGCCTCAGACTACCTCAAAACGAATCTAGGGGCCTGTTTGGGACACTTTCTTTTGGACATGTCTACAACCGAATGTACCCAAAGACAAAAACGTCTGCTCAATGGCGATGTGCTGTATTGCATTAACACATCCTTGAAACGTTCCCTAGAGGAGTTCCAGAACAGTGTACTTGAAATCTAGGTCATTGTGCTCGATACACACAGAAACAGAGCATGACGAATGAACAACCACATGCTCTCCAACGCTGCACAAAGTAGCTATGTACAGCAGCAGCTGCTGCAGGGTCGTGACAGCAGCTACTGTCACATGCCACACACGCGGTAGCCCTCAGCTACTCCTCAGTTGTGGGGTTGCTGTGCAGAGGATGCATAGGGTGGTGCTGTGCGTTCAGAGACAGGGCATCAACCATGGCACTGGGAGTTACATCAGCAGAGCCGTCCTTGGCTGGATGGAAAAAGCAGGCAGGACAGGGGAGGAGGTGCAAGGCGACACACAATGAAATGGGCGGTGAAGTGACGAGAGATGAATAATAGCATTCAAGCAGGGTTCAGAGGGTTTGGGGTTGCCGAGCTGGCTAGAGAGCAGCCCTAAACAACAACTTGGACGCATCGGAGCAGGCCAGAGAGCACTTTAGAACACGGCTTGCCTGGTTGTGCTGCCTCCAACAGTTGCCCATGAGGAATGGCTGCTGCCGTGGGAAGGAGACTCGCAGAGTCCGATGCCGCGGCAAAGGCAGCACCACTGCTAGGGGAAGGCACAGTGACGTCCACAGGAGCAGCATTTGGTGCATGTGGTGCTGCAGCAGCATCACTGGTAGCAGCCTCCACCACATGTGCATGTGCAAGCTCAGGTGTTGCAGCTGGCCCAGCAGCAGCAGCAGCAGAAGCAGCAGGGACGGTGAGAGCAGCTGCTTGTGCTCCACTAGTGGAAGTGCCCGGTTCGACCTGCCTCCAGTGGGTTAGCGAGATGATGGGATGGGTATGGAAAGAAAGGTGGTTCAACTAGCAAAGTTGGGTAATTTCTTTAGGCAAAAGTGAATATTACCATTCAGCAACACCGACAGCAGCTATGCGAATGATTGACTTGACACAATCTCCTGTTCACCTGCCACCTGTCATGCTCCAAGTTACTGCCCTCTACCACTCACAGAGCAACATGAGCCACACGACACACGGCACAACACCCCAAACCAACTGACAAGGGGAAGATCCAGCAGCGTGCTTATAGAAGAAATCAGTGTTCGAACATGACAACCTACGAAGCAAGTTAGGGGCAAGGCGAATGCTCACATCATCATCGGATTCTTCCTCCTCGTTGCTGACATCATCATCAGATTCTTCCTCCTCGTTGCTGACATCATCATCAGATTCTTCCTCCTCGTTGCTGACATCATCATCAGTTTCCTCCTCCTCGTTGCTCACATCGTCATCAGATTCCTCCTCCTCCAACTCCCCCCTCACCGCCCGCTGCATAAAGCTCCCCAACACCGCATAGAATGCCTCATCCAACGCCTCCTGCTCCGCCTCCTCGTTGTCCCCGCTGCCCTGGCTGCTCTGACTGCCCTCGTGCCCTTCAACCCTCTCCACCTCCACCTCCGCCATCCCTGAGTCGCTTCCTCTCAAGGCTGCGCCCAGACGCCGCAGCCCGTACAGATGCCCCTGCAGGTGCAGATAGAAAGAGGGTTAACACAGTACCTCCTTATAGAGCATCAACAAGACAGTGCAAATGCAGAGACAGGAGGTAGGGTGTGAAGGAGGAGGGGTAGGGATAGGGAGGGAATGAGGTGAAAGGGAGAGGGGAAGGGGAGCGATGAGGAATCAGGACACCTCCGACGATGGGGAGCGATGGGGAATCACCTTGGTGCAGACGTAGGTGACCACTTCCGGGAACGTGACGTATATCTTGTTCCCCGCATAGCAAATAAGGATCTTGGACACTCGCGGAAAGTTCAACAACTGCATCATGTCCCAAACCTGCCAAGGAACGTGCACACCGGGGACGGGGTCTTTGATGGAAAACGAAAAAGGGCAGGACACAAGGAAAAGCACCACTTAGGGGACCATCTTGAGATTATTTCTTTAAAAAGCTAAGAGTCATAAGACAAGGCGACAGCTCACCTGGGAGGAGCAGTATGGGCACTGCTCGTCACAAACGAAGGGGGTCTGAGACTCGTACATCCTAATGTCATGGGCATGAAAAACAAAAAAAAAGGAGCAGAGGCATTGATGGGGGCATGCTAATTGATGAGGACACGAACGGGGACACGCATAAACGACAATGAACGAAACTTCTTTTTCTCCGTGTTCCGACTTGATAAACCGCATCTGCCCACGCCCACTCGTAGCAGTCAACTTTTCTGCATTAGCTTCCAAGGGTGGGCATGAGTGGAATCAGTTTGTCAAGTCGGAACGCAGGGAAAGCGAAAGCATGTCAACACGACACATGTATACGTGATGGCTCAACAATATGGCACAAGGAAAAATAAAAAAGAAGCAGCCAACATTTTGCTCCTAGAAGAAGTCTAGAACGGAGGAGTGGTTATGTATTGCAAGCACTACAACACCATCAGCCTTACTTGGAGCTTTGAAAGTCGATAACATGTCCTCGAATGAGAAAAAATGGCACGGCGTCGTACTCCTCGTGTTGATGCACAAAGCACGCGAACATCACGAAATGCATCTCTGGAACGCCGGAGCGAACGACATCCATGATCTCAAACTTGCTGGGGTGGACGTGAGGCGCGCTGCTGGGATGGACTTCGCTCGGGACAGGCTTCCAGCACGCACACTGGAGGCTGCTGCCGCACCCGCAGTTCATTGCCTTGAACTCCCTGCCTCGCAGCAGCGCGGGTCGCACGCCTGGACACACGTTCACGAGCTTCGCTAGGTTGAAAACTTCTTCGCTTCCCATGTCGTGCAGCATGCGCTCCAACCGTTCGCGCATGGATATTGGATCTTCAAGGCTGGCCGTGATGGCAGCGAGTGCGTCCTTAACGGCGTTGGCGCGATCAGGATTAGCTCTACTAGAGCTAGTAGTAGCCTCGGAGTCGGAGCGTTGCGCGTCACTCGGGGATGCGTCGAGAGCGAGTTGGTCGCGGCAGTGCCACCTCCAGAGATGCTCCTTCGCCATCCGCGCAAACCCCGTCGACACGCACGCGAGCCGCGCGATCGGCTGCCCCGTGGGTTGCGCGAGGCGGAGCACGGCGTAGACCACGTCCGGGGGCAGCGACTCCATGGCGCGCGGGCGGCTGGAAGCGAAAGCGGCTGTGATGGATGGGGAGGCGAACTAGGCCCACCGTGGAAGAGGTGTGGGGTTTGTGACGGAGGCAAGGGATCGGTGGACTGTGTTCTGAGTACCCCCAGCGAAAGGTGGTGAGATCTATCCAGCTCGATCGGGTGGGACAGGGAGGACCATCGCAACGGTTGCGCCGAGGAGGCATAATCTCGAGAATTGCTCGAAACTAAGGCGGAGTAAGCCGCCTGGTTGCATGTGTGAGGTTCCAATGAACCACCCTTCCACCCAAAACACATGTATGGCCCTAGAACCTAGAGGAGGACGTGGAGTGGCCCTGCCGTGCCGTTTCGCTTCGCCACGCGTCGCCAGTTCAAAAAATTTCTAGAAACGAAGCTACCGAGCCGGTTTGTAACTTGGTGACACCCAACCAGAGTTGGGGAGCATGAGACTCGAGTTAGGGCGTGTATCTCTTGCCCGGACCACGCGGTACGGACGGTATGCGAAAAGGGTATCCAGCTCACGGTCCGGACAGTTTGAGCCCGTTATCGAATTGGAGAGCATGCGAGCATTGACGAAAGTTTTCACACGCCGTCCGGACAGTCGGTCTGGGTAAAAGATGCACGCCCTTAGGACGCGGCACCTGTTTTCGGTTAGGCAGGATCGATCGTACACACCCCTAGGCCCCCAATTGTTGGTTCGCTGTCCTGGTTTTTCAGCACGTCCACGTAAATATGTGCGCCGATGACGAAAACAACGGCGAGACCGAATTTCTCGAGATAGGGCTGTTTGCGGCCGCTGTCGTGGAAATTGTGGTTACTAGATAACTCGTTAGTTCGCAATCCCACCCCTCATCGGGTAGGGCTTGTTCTTGTTGCCACTGCAATGGCCTCGGTCGGACGCCAAGTGAGGGCATATAGAATAGAACCCCCAACAGCAATGCACGGAAGCTTTGACACCGATATCATTTGGAGAAACGTGTGTGCTGTCCTCCTCTTCTTGCTGTCAGTCCCCCACTCTACCAGTCCCAGCAGACGTTTTCCGCCCACGCATTAACGAAACCGTCAACTCGCGACGATGAAGAGTGCTCGCGGTCGCGACGGCTCTCGCCTGCTGTCGCTCCCCGACGAGCTTCTCCTGCCCGTTCTCTCGCGCGTCGACCACCCGCGCGATCGCTGCAGCCTCGCGCTCTCCTGCTCGCACCTCCACCGCCTCTCCCGCCGCACGCCCCACTCGCTCCGCCTCCACTTCTTCGCCGCGGAAAAGCAGGGCGTCAATGCCCGAGAATGGATAAAAAAAACTCGACTATTATTGTGGGGTATTCACCCATGTAATTGACCTCACGGTGGAGGTTAATTGCACCACCATTGACCAGCTTCTGAGGGGAATCGGCGCGGGCTGCGCGAAACTGGAAAGGCTGAAGCTCGTGTCGGTGCGCGGCCCGTTTCAGATCAACGTCGCGGCTTGGAGGAAGCTCGCGAGGCAATGCCCGTGAGTCAGCGGTTTGGATGTGCTGCCGTCTACTTGCTCTCCCCTTCTCGTTCATTCTCTCGTTCGTTCTTTAGCAGCGCAAGCCATTGTAAGTCATTGCCCTCCGCAAACGCTGTTTGTGAAGCAGGAAATCACCAAAACCTGTACACAGAACGAGCCGTTCGTCTCGTCTCCCCTCATCCCTCTGTTCCCCCTGTCATCCCTAACGGATTCCTCTCGTCATCATCACGGAATCGTGCGGCTCGCTCATTTGATCCGAACGTCCGTCTCACAGCTCACACCCATGGCGACCAGAGCGTAATCCCGCTCTTGTAGTTGTAACCTCATGGCTGTATTCCGCCCGTTGCCTAGAAAAGGAATAAAATCGATTTCCAGCAAGCCTCCTAGCACCCAACTCCCATATTTCATTTGACCCGTTTCTTTCCTCCCCTTGGCCTTCACGTTCAACCTGTTCTCCTTCTACCTTCCTTTTTGCACCCCTCCTCTCCTTCACCCTCCGTTGTGTGCCCCACCCGTCTTTCCCTTCCCCTTTTGCACCGCACCTCTCCTTTCCGTTCGCCTTGCCCTCATCAGCCTCGTGACGTCACTGCAGCTCGACTCGCCACTGGAGCGCCAATCCCTCAACTTCAACGACCCTCCACCTCCCCCAGTAGACGCCTTCCCTGCACTGCGCTCACAAACCCTCCTCTACCAGCCCTTGCACTACCGCTTCATCGCCCGCTGCTCCTCCCTCACCTCGCTCACCCTCTGGCGCCCTGACGCCCTCGCTCTCTTCTCCCTCGCCTCCGCCTCCTCCCTTCTCCGCCTCTCCCTCGCCTCCCTCACCTCACCATCCACTCCACGTGGCTTGAAGCCGCCCTCACGCCCCTCGCCTCTTTCCCGCGCCTCTCCTCGCTCGCCTTCCACGCCTGCAGCATTGACCCCTGCGAGCTACACGCGCTCTCCCGCTCCCTCCACACGCTCACCCACCTCGCCGTCCACGACTGCCCCATGGTCTCCAGCCACTCCCTTGCCGCCCTCGCTCACGCCAACCCGGCTCTCTCCTCCCTCTCCCTCCACTTCACCTCCTACCCTCTCTTCGCCGCACAAGGCCTGCGTAATCTGCTCCGCTCTTCCTCGTCCCGCCTCCACACCCTCACTCTCTCCGGGCTGCCCTCGTATCGCCCCGGCATGCTTGCACGCTGCAGCAGTCTGAAGCGCCTCACGCTGAAAGGAAAGGGGGAGGAGAGGGACAGTGCATTGCCCTGTGAGTCGCAGGAGCCGCCTGTTGAGTGCATTGTGGCAATGCTGGTGCGAGTGGAACAGGGGGTGCTCTCGAACATCAAGCGCGCGGTGATGCGTGCGGCCATATCGCTGTGCCGGTGCATGCGCGTGGCCGTGGTCGACGTGGATGGCAGGGTTGCACGCGAGAAGGCACTGGCGAAGGTCTGTTCTGCTGCTGAGACTGCAGGGCTCTTCACTGCAGCGCTGACCCTGAGAGGGAGGAGCAGGAACGGGAGAGGGAGGGGTGGGGCGGAGGAGGAGGGAGGGATGTGGAAGAGCTGGTGGGGTTTATCCCCGAGAATGACCTGCCAGCGGATCTGGCGGAGGTGAGTGAGGCGCTTCTGGGGGAGGAGACGGGTGAGTGGCCGGCGTTTGTGGCGGTGTCGCGAGCACAGGCGAGGGCGCTGTTGCACGCGCTGTTGGAGCAGCTGGTGGTGCAGACGGAGGCCATGGGTGATGCCTTTGAGCCCGCTCCCCCACCTGTGCCAGGGGCAGCGGCGGCACCAGTGGCCGTGACACAAGGGGCAGCAGCACAAGGCGCAGCAGCACAAGGCGCAGCAGCACAAGGCGCAGCAGCACAAGGGGCAGCAGCACAAGGGGCAGCAGCACAAGGGGCAGCAGCACAAGGGGCAGCAGCACAAGGCGCAGCAGCACAAGGGGCAGCAGCTCAAGGGGCAGCAGCACAAGGCGCAGCAGCACAAGGGGCAGCAGCACAAGGCGCAGCAGCACAAGGCGCAGCAGCACAAGGGGCAGCAGCACAAGGCGCAGCAGCACAAGGGGCAGCAGCACAAGGGGCAGCAGCACAAGGGGCAGCAGCACAAGGCGCAGCAGCACAAGGCGCAGCAGCACAAGGCGCAGCAGCACAAGGCGCAGCAGCACAAGGGGCAGCAGCACAAGGCGCAGCAGCACAAAGCGCAGCAGCACAAGGGGCAGCAGCACAAGGGGCAGCAGCACAAGGGGCAGCAGCACAAGGGGCAGCAGCACAAGGGGCAGCAGCACAAGGGGCAGCAGCACAAGGGGCAGCAGCACAAGGGGCAGCAGCACAAGGCGCAGCAGCACAAGGCGCAGCAGCACAAGGGGCAGCAGCACAAGGCGCAGCAGCACAAGGGGCAGCAGCACAAGGCGCAGCAGCACAAGGGGCAGCAGCACAAGGCGCAGCAGCACAAGGGGCAGCAGCACAAGGCGCAGCAGCACAAGGGGCAGCAGCACAAGGCGCAGCAGCACAAGGCGCAGCAGCACAAGGGGCAGCAGCACAAGGCGCAGCAGCACAAGGGGCAGCAGCACAAGGGGCAGCAGCACAAGGGGCAGCAGCTCAAGGGGCAGCAGCACAAGGCGCAGCAGCACAAGGGGCAGCAGCACAAGGCGCAGCAGCACAAGGGGCAGCAGCACAAGGCGCAGCAGCACAAGGGGCAGCAGCACAAGGCGCAGCAGCACAAGGGGCAGCAGCACAAGGCGCAGCAGCACAAGGGGCAGCAGCACAAGGCGCAGCAGCACAAGGGGCAGCAGCACAAGGCGCAGCAGCACAAGGCGCAGCAGCACAAGGGGCAGCAGCACAAGGCGCAGCAGCACAAGGGGCAGCAGCACAAGGGGCAGCAGCACAAGGGGCAGCAGCACAAGGCGCAGCAGCACAAGGGGCAGCAGCACAAGGCGCAGCAGCACAAGGGGCAGCAGCACAAGGCGCAGCAGCACAAGGCGCAGCAGCACAAGGCGCAGCAGCACAAGGGGCAGCAGCACAAGGCGCAGCAGCACAAGGGGCAGCAGCACAAGGGGCAGCAGCACAAGGGGCAGCAGCACAAGGGGCAGCAGCACAAGGGGCAGCAGCACAAGGGGCAGCAGCACAAGGGGCAGCAGCACAAGGCGCAGCAGCACAAGGGGCAGCAGCACAAGGCGCAGCAGCACAAGGGGCAGCAGCACAAGGCGCAGCAGCACAAGGCGCAGCAGCACAAGGGGCAGCAGCACAAGGCGCAGCAGCACAAGGGGCAGCAGCACAAGGGGCAGCAGCACAAGGCGCAGCAGCACAAGGGGCAGCAGCACAAGGCGCAGCAGCACAAGGGGCAGCAGCACAAGGGGCAGCAGCACAAGGCGCAGCAGCACAAGGGGCAGCAGCACAAGGCGCAGCAGCACAAGGGGCAGCAGCACAAGGCGCAGCAGCACAAGGGGCAGCAGCACAAGGCGCAGCAGCACAAGGGGCAGCAGCACAAGGCGCAGCAGCACAAGGGGCAGCAGCACAAGGCGCAGCAGCACAAGGG